TTTCCCAGGCCCAGGAGTTCCCCGGTTGCGACTCGCTTGGGAAGGAAGAGCAGCCGTGGAGCATCGCCGGCACTGATTCGCAGCAAACGCAAAAGATCGCTCCGGGTAGCGAGAGAGGTTTCGGTCCGTGGCTGCAGAGCCGCCGGAGGCTGGGAGTTTAATCCCCCCCAACCCCCCTCCCGCCCTCCCGCGACTCCTTGGCAGGGGGCTGGGCTCGGTGACCCGAAGGGCCCTTTCCAGCTCTGCCATTCCAAGACGTGGTTCGGCCGGCCCCAGAAACAGAAACAGCAGAAAGTGGGTTTGGGATGTCCCGTTTTCCTCCGCATTTTGGTTCCATGCAGGCTAATTGGTATTTAGAAAAGAGGATATGATGCTGCGGGCCCCAGAAAGCAAATCAAAACCACTGAGGTGACAGCTCGTGAGTCTTTCAGAGGATCTTTTCCGTCCCAAGAAGTGGCCAAGGGGATTTTACTCGGGACCAACGGAATGCCGGCTCTGCACTACATAAGCCTGGGCGGGGAAAGTACATACCAGTCTAAATAGGTCCACACCAGACTTTCACTTCTTTGTTCTACCGCAGCAGCTTTTTCCGCTTCTTTTACAGAATAACAAACATTACAGCCTGGGGGAAGAATACCAGCAGCGGTTTCAGAACTTTGTTAGCAATAAGAGGAAGATTGATAAGCACAATGCTGGGAACCACACCTTCCAAAGTAGGCTCTTTATGGATGAAAAACTGCCATGTGTTTGCTTTACTTCTTTAAGAATTGGGGGCGGGGGTACTGTTCCATGATGGGACCCTACTTTCTCCTGACTGCCTTTCTTGTTTCTAGTGGGTCTGAATGCATTCTCAGACATGACATTCAACGAATTCAGAAAGAAGTATCTCTGGCATGAACCCCAGGTAAGGGCAAGCTCGTGTCTCATTGTAATATATCTGAAGTCCCTGGTAACTTGCAGCACAACTTTCGGCACATGGGCTCAGAGGCAAGACACACACTATGTTCATGTGCCCTTTGAACAGGGTTCTTGGCTAGAGGCAGACCCCAAATCAGAACAAGATCCCAGGAAAGTTCAACAAAAGGTTCAAGAAAAAGCAGACACCGTGCAGCCTCTGCTTGAAGAATATAGTTGAGGTGGAGAATAGGATGTAACACCATTAAGAGTGTTACATTCAGAATTATTTTTAATTATCGTTATTTAAGTAAAAACATGATAAAAATTTTGAATGGAAATTGTGAATGCGGGCAGAATGAGGAACTCCTTCAAAGCCAAAGCGCTATCTGAATAATGCTGGCAGTTGCTGACAGCTGCTCCACCTCTGATATAGAAGAACGATCATATTGGATGCGTCAGGGCTTATTACCTATTTGAAAACCCTTACCCTGAAATCAAATGCAACAAAAACACATGCTCTCTTTGTTTATTCATAACATTTATCTTCTAAATTGTTAAGGTACAAATATAGATCTTTAGTGCATGTGATCACAGAAGACAACCAGGCCATTAAGGAAAATAATGAGCGTGAAGTTCAGGATTTTTATGGCACTTTTCCTGGTGCATAGACAGAATCACATGTATTATTTAAGCATGATTTAAATGTGACGTTGACGGTATAAGGAGGTAATAGTGTGGGATAGCAGACCGGGCATGCGGCGTCATGATTGAGAGCCTACCTTCGTTGTGGAATATTGCACAGAGGTATTCTCTTGCTCAGTCTGCTTTCTGTTTGAGGCTGGGCTCAGTAACCCTGAGATAGCCAATGTCATGTACCAGCTGCTAGCAGTGCTGGGGCAACCGTAGATATGGCACTGAAGTTATTCTGCGGTGACTAGGGAAATCAGAAAGGTTTAAACTAGGCAGCCTCTGAGCCCCTTGAACACAAATCCAGATTTCTCATAAATTGCTCATTTGTCAAAGCAAACCTTGACTGTTCTTGTGACAAAGGATGAGCTCTGTTTCTGTTGGGAGGGGAAGGATCACATCTTGGACTGAGTGGTGACTGAATGTAGGTCCCTGTTGTTGCTTTCAGAACTGTTCTGCCACTACTAGCAACTTTGTTAGCAGTGCTGGACCATATCCAAAAACCATAGACTGGAGGAAAAAAGGAAAGTATGTGACACCCGTGAAAAACCAGGTAAAAAAAGCAGATCTTGGCTTTTTGGGTACCAAATAATAAAGGGACAAGAAATAACCTTTATTTCGAACTTGTGAGAAATTCACACCCCCAGCTTTGTTAATACCGTAGAATCACTAATATAATCCTGGGAGATTAGAAATCTTGGAGATTGAAATAGTAGGAGAGATACAAACATTCTGCCACCTTCCTAGCTTCTTGAACTTACTAAGATATACTGTATTTTTCCATGTATAATATGCCCCCACATGTAATCCAGAATTCTAACCCAGAATTTCTTTCTTCGGATGAAAATGGAGGGGGAAAGCAAGAATCATCAAAGCGATTCCTGCTTTCCCCCTCCACTTTCTTTGGAAGAAAGTGGAGGGGAAAAGCACTTTCCTCACTAGAAAGTGCTTTCTTGCAAGGAAAGTGGAGAGGGAAAAGCACTTTCTTGCAAGGAAAGTGGAGGGGGAAAGCAGGAATCATCACAATGCTTTGATTCCTACTTTTCCCCTCCACTTTTTGCAAAGAAAGTGGAGGGGAAAAGCACTCATCTTGTACACAGAAAAATCTGGTATTCTCTGTTGCTTTGATTTCTGCCATCTTCCTTCCCCTCCCAAGGGTCCTTGTGGCAGCTGCTGGACTTTCTCAACCACTGGCTGTTTGGAGTCTGCTATTGCCATCGCAACAGGGAAGTTACTGAACCTGGTAAGGCTTCTTGACTGAGCTCCTCTCCTTTTTATTCTTTTTATAATATATGTGTGTTTCTTTGTCTACTTACAGCATTTTATCTGCCCTTCCTTTCACTGAGTCCTTAAGGTGATTTGAAATGAATTCATCAGAACAATAACCATTGTTTGAACAATCTAAAATAAACAAGCAAACAAAACAATAAACAACCCTAAAATAAAATCTAAATTACAATAAGTTGCAATAAACAATACAAATATTGTTTATTGCAACTTTTAATAATCAAAGGGCACAATTAATCAGTAAAATCCCAGTAAAACAGTGTAGTGATAAGGAAGCAAGCCAGTCTAAGAGTTGCCATAGTAGCCAGATGGGAGATGTACGAATGAATGAATGAATGAATGAAACAATACAAATTTATTGCAACTTTTAATAATCAAAGGGCACAATTAATCAGTAAAATCCCAGTAAAACAGTGTAGTGATAAGGAAGCAAGCCAGTCTAAGAGTTGCCATAGTAGCCAGATGAGATGGGAGCGAATGAATGAATGAATGAATGAATGAATGAATGAATGAATGAATGAATGAATGAATGAATAAATAAATAAATAAATAAATAAATAAATAAATAAAATAACACTTCTTGGAAGGGAGGTCTGTACTCAGCGGCCTGCTACACATTGTGGACCCTCTTTCAGGTATCCGCCAGCTCTGCCTCAGATTTCAGTCATATAGCAAACCTTTGGATGATGAGCAAAGGCTGTGAGTTATATATGGGGGAAGGCCTTATTTCAGATGCCCTGGACTCCAGGCATTTTAGGCCACATCTGACTAGCTTTCTTGCAAGACAGAATGGCTTCCTTCTTCAGAACGATGCAGAAGGAAGCAAGAAGGCAGAACTCCCATGAGTGCACTTAAGATCAATAGGGATTGCAACTAGCTGGAAGCAGCAAGGCTATGACATCCATCAGATGTTTGCAGCAGGAACACTTGGCCAGATTGTCAGCAGCTGTGCTGTGTTGGTTTTAAAAATGAAAAGTTGTGCAGGAATGTTCTTAAATAGCTGCAGATGCCTCTCACCTTACTTTCATCAACTTTTGCTTTGCCGTAGTAAAAAGACAGATGTTTTTAAATTGTGAAAACAAACATAGGTAAATTGATTAAATGTGGGCTTTGGAAAGGATAAGCTTCCATATAGTTTAGGTGTGAGTAATTTATCAGTGAGTAGGGTTAGAAGAGACCATTACTATATATAATGATTGTCCTTTTTCTCTGTTGGAGAAATTCCAGTCCCCTCTGAGGCCAATGATACATATCTTAACCCTGCTGAGGACAGTTATAGGATGCCATCCTATGGCACAGGATAACAGAACTGGATTTTTTCAAACACTGGATAGGTTGGAGGCAGAGGGCTTGATTCAATTTGCTGTAAGCTTGTTTGTAAGGAAAATCAAACTGGGAGAGGGATTTCCTGTGATTTTCCTGGCCCAAACAGTCTCCCTCATCCCCTCCCTTAGGCTGAGCAACAACTGGTTGACTGTGCTCAGAACTTCAACAACCATGGATGTAGTGGGTAAGTGGTGCCATTTGGCACTGGTTTCTAGCTCATGGATCCTTTGAGTCTTTCTAGTCTATTTTGTTCAATCAGCATTTTCTTTTCTTTGTTAATTTTAAGAATGAAACTGAAACTCATCAGTGCATTTTGTGGTTTTTCTCTTCTCAGAGGTCTCCCCAGCCAGGCGTTTGAGTACATCCTGTACAACAAAGGACTCATGGGGGAGGATATGTACCCTTATCATGCAGAGGTATTGTTGTGTTGTTTATAAAACTGTATGTAATAGGTTACCTTTTACATTGGCTAGCTTTTATATGTCTTCCTTATCTTCTGCACAGAATGGTACCTGCAAATTCCAGCCTCAGAAAGCCATTGCGTTTGTCAAAGATGTCATCAACATTACCCTGGTGAGCAACTGTTTACTCAGCAGCAGCAGGAATTATCCCCGGTTTCGGCCCTAGTTCCAGAGCCAGCTTAGAGGGGCTGATTCCTTACCATGGACAATTCAGCCTTGTGTTTTCTCTCCATAGTGTATCTCACTCAGGATGATGTAAGGATTCTGCTCACCATGAGCATGCCACTTTTCCTTGGATGCTTCTTTATTTTATTTATTGCTTTGAAATGTTTATTTCCTACCATTTCCTCAATTGTAATTTTCTTTTATTTTTTCTTAATGCAGTTTCTTTCCAGCAAACTTCTGCTTCATTAGAGTGCACTCAGAGCCCATCTTTTCTGCCTCTCCCTAACCAAACATGCAGAAAGGAAGTAATTCTTGTTTTCACACAAGATGACTTAAAATATCATTGAAGGTCTGTGAAACCTCATGTCCTTTCAAAAAAGTAGTTGCAAGCAGTTCTTGAAATATTTGCCCACTTTTTTCCATGGATTTCGGAAAACAGGTTGCAGATCTAACAAATCTCTGCTTTAGATCATAACGACATCCTAAGTCCTTTGTTGATTCAGATGTTGCATATTAACATTCTGGAATTGTCTCCTTCCAGTATGATGAACAGGGCATGGAAGAAGCAGTAGGGAGATACAATCCAGTGAGCTTTGCCTTTGAAGTGACAGAAGACTTCATGCACTACAAGCAGGGGGTTTACACCAGGTGAGTACTATTAGATGTACGAAATATTAGGCAATGTGGTGTTTGTGAATGCAAATATGGATAATGAGCCTGCAGTTACGTTCAAGATCTGGAGTAAAATGAGCCATCCCTGATTATGTTGTTTCTGGAGCAGTGAGACAGAAAGTGTGCACCATCCTGGAAATCCAATTAGTTTATCTGTTTTTGGTTGCCATTACAGTGTTAATTCAGTCCATCATTAATAAAACTTTTTTTTCCTGCAGCACACAATGTGATAAAACCCCAGACAAGGTCAATCATGCAGTCCTGGCTGTAGGCTATGGAGAAGAGAATGGACTTCCTTACTGGATTGTGAAAAATTCCTGGGGCTTCCAATGGGGCATGGATGGGTAATGCATTCAACTTTTACCTCAATTTATTCTCCCTGCAGAAAACTCATTCAGCCCACCACATCTCTTTAAAAATCAAACAAATCAGAAATATCCAAGGTTTTCTTTGTCATCATGGAATCCCCTGTAATATTATTTAACTTTACTTATTTATTTATTTTATACACTGCCCACTCTACCCAAAGGTCTCTGGGCGGCTTACAACAATTAAAATTCAATTAAAATACAATAAAAGATAAAATGATTATAATACAATTAAAATTGTCATCAGGACCCACAGTTGATGTTATTTCAATTAAAAGCCTTCTGGAAGGTTTTAACCTGGCACCAAAATGTCAAATTCCCAGAGTACATGGGGCCAAATTTTTCCCAAGCACAGTCATTAGAGAGCTCTGCTTTGGGGCAAATTTTAGGAAGTGACCTTAGTAACACAAACACACTATATTTAAAATTCCTTCTTCTTTGTCTTGGAGGGACAAGGGCATTTCACCAATAGGAAGCTCCCATAATTGAAAATCTTTTTTTCCTTTTTTAGATATTTCTATATTGAACGTGGAAAGAACATGTGTGGACTGGCTGACTGTGCCTCCTACCCAGTTCCTCTCATCTAAAGCGAGGCTGGATTTCAATATGGGGAGATAGAAGTAGGCAATGCCTGAAGGTGCCAAGCAGTAAAGAACGACAAGGAGGAAGAGCATCCCTCTGGGGAGGAGCTCAGCGAGTGGACATTTCCTCCTCCGTATCCAAGGGAGAGACCACAGTGTGATTTCAGCCTGATTTGCTATGCTTGCCAAACGCCTCACTCCCGTTTTATTTCCCCAGCAGTACTGCTCAAACGGCATCAAATTATGCCCTTTTATTAATTCTCTGGTACCGCATCCCTAATACGTGATCTCTCACACACCCTGTAAGAAAGGAACTGATATATCGCCGCGTTTCCCCCGACACGCACAGACATTGCGCCGCTTCACTGAATCATTTTTGTAATGGACTTCTATTCAGATTTATAATAAAAAGGATTTATAGACGATCGGGCTTCTTTGGAACGGTCCTTTGGGTGATGGTCCTTTGGGTGATGTGCGGCGCTTGGAGGAGGGAAGCAGGGCCGCTCTCGGCCTCCGGAGCCTCCTCACGAACGTCCTTGCTCTTCCCCTTCCGGGTTTCACAGCACCTTCCGGTGTCGGTCTCTTCCTCCGCCTCCTGAGGGCGCCCAAAAACCACGACCTGCAGACGTCACTTCCTGCAGAGGCTGCCGGGAGAAATATTCCCGTGGCCAATCAGGTGCCCCGAACTCGAAGAAGGCGCGCAATGTAAACCGAGGCGGGTGTTGTTCGTTCGGCCTCCCCTTTTTTCCTTTCCTTTCCCGCGGGCAGTGAGAGGGCCGTGGGGCCCGCCGGGGATTCCTTCCCGCCGCGTCGGGGTGAGGCGGAGCCCTTGCAGGGCAAGCGGGGAGCGAGACGCGTCGGCGGCCCCGAGGCGGGCAGGGAGGGAGGGAGGGAGGGAGGGCGAGCCGCCCGCTTTCTTCGGTCGCGGCGTGGAAGTCCCCGAGCATTTCTGGCGCCGGTGCCCGGTTCTGCCGCCGCAGGGGTGGCCCGGCCTTCGGTGCGGAGGCCTCTCGCCTTTCCGCACCAACCGCTGTCGCTGCCTTCCAGAATCGGGCCCCGAATCCATTGGGTGCTCTTAGTAAGAGGAGACCCGTTGAGTCAGAGGGACTGAAGTGTTGGTTCGTCCTTCGCCAGTATACCCGATGGGCTTGGCAGGGCTTTGCTTCGCGGGTCTTCTCCGGCCTTTGCCTTAGTCCAAATCTATTAGTCTCAATCAGGGCAGAACCCATCGGTTCAGTGGCATTTACATTAGGGCCCCGAATCCATTGGGTGCTCTTAGTAAGAGGAGACCCGTTGAGTCAGAGGGACTGAAGTGTTGGTTCGTCCTTCGCCAGTATACCCGATGGGCTTGGCAGGGCTTTGCTTCGCGGGTCTTCTCCGGCCTTTGCCTTAGTCCAAATCTATTAGTCTCAATCAGGGCAGAACCCATCGGTTCAGTGGCATTTACATTATTTATTTATGTGAGGTAATACATTAGTGCTGACTGAGGTAATGATGATTCAGCAGACTGGGCTACCAATTGGAATTATGCCCGAGTCTTTTTTAATTAAGTCTTTCCGACGACCTTTTGACTGCAGTGTAAGGGAGTTGACCCTGAGGAGGGCTTCTACATGCAAACCTGTCCTCAGGTTTGAGGCTTTTAGCAAGGTCTTGTGTTGCACATACTGCTCTAGTGTGAATTTGATCAGGTCAAAATCCACTCTCTTCCCTGCAAAGATGTGACTTTTTGGAGACAGAATTAAGACTTTGCACAATGTCAGCAATAGCAGCAGTTAGTTGTTACTGCAAGGAATGAGCATTACTCAAGGGAGTTATTGAAAGCAGTTCTTGAGATTTTCATGAGAGTTTTTCAAGAGTTTTCTAAGAATTCCTGTTGACTGGGGAAAGGCAGCTCCAGTAATAACTTCAGTCAGACAATAGAGCTGATGTGGCTTATTCTCCATGTGCTGCTTATTTTCCATGTGTTTCTGTTTATAAGTATGTGTCTTTGACAGTTTAAATTGAGTTTGATAATTCTGATTTTTTCCCCCCTGGTATTTACTAACTTGAATAGTTGGGACGACAGAAGCCTATGGAACTCCATAATCAAAGCAATGACAGACTCTATCCAGAAAACGTTTTCTTAAAAATGATTTAGACACACAATCTTATGAAATAGAATAAAAATTTATAGTCTTTATTCTGTTCTAATACCTTTGAGCTATAATACATGTAAAACTGAAACACAGGACATTTTAAAATTAAATTGCATTTTAACAACATTTCTTTAAAAAATTCTGATTTTAATTGCAGTATAGCAATGCATTTTAATTGCTTTCCAAAATATTTTTACTCTCTCTGTTCCATGGTAGATGGCACCTTTATCATCTGTCTACTGCCCAAGAATTGTAACAGGCAGAATCCCCCTCCTTCATACTCCCTTCTGTTTACAGGTTGGGAGCCTAAAGGTGTCCAGTCCTGATTACCCCAGATGCCACTGAGAAACACGCTTGCTTGCACTATGTGAGGGACAGAATATCAGTCAATTCTTTACCCATAGATTTTTGCCAGCTTTCTTACCCACAGATCCTTTTTAAAAACCTGCATCTGTATTGCCAGTACCTCTGCTTCACAGATCTGTCATTATTGTGCTTTTCTGTTTCCTTATTTTTGAAAATAGAATGGCAAATATTCCCCAAAACAACCTTCAGAAGCAGCTTGAACTTTTTTCTGCCAAAGGAATCCTACAGAGACCAACACTTTCTAAACCCAAAGCTTTGTAAGTATTGATTGGTTATGGCTTACCTTTTCAAACTGCTGTCAAATTATGGAAAGTGATATTCACCATTTTCTTTGGAAAATATTTATTTTCCTAATGCCTTTTTAAAGCCAGATTATTATTTGATTTGTGTTGTAGAAAGTTCTTATGAATGTCAAAATGCTTTAAAATATCTTTTAGGCTCATGTTTGTGAGGGTTCAATAGGGGCCTGATAGAGATTTTGCGCAGAGACTACAGGCTTGGTCGGAATAAGTCAAAAGCAGTATTTATTGCAACATTTAACTCAGGGTTCGTAACTCTCAGACTTATATCAGCTTTATCTCTCGTTTACAATGGGTCCCATGATCCAAACATCTTGCACAAATGGGTTATAACTAGTTTCGTTCCATGGTCCCTTAGCAAAAGGGTTAGTGTCCTCAGGATCCTCTGAGTCTAGTCCCAGGTCAATTAAGGGTAGGGTCTCCTCGTCTCTCCCCTCTGAGTCGAAGGAGGGTTCTCCCCTGAGTAGTAAGTGCCACGGTCCGGCCAGTACCCTCTCCGATGGGCCTCCTCCAGCTGCCATGCTTTCTGTTCTCGTTCTTGTCTCTCCACCGCCTCTCTCCCTCCCCGCAACCGGTGTCGCCACTCCCGGGCTTCCTTTTCCCACCAGTAAGAGGGGCGCTGTAGTAGACCTCTTCTCCTTCTGTAATCTGCCTCTTCCCGAGGCACCTGGACCTTTTCACACTTCCCCGTCCATGGGTCTTCCACCCATATTAATTCCCAACCCCCCGGTATCTCATCTCTATTCCCTTTTATATCCACTGTTGCTGCCTCCACAAAGGCTCTGCCCCTTTCTTCTTTTCCCGCCGTTTCTGCTCCTGTTTGAGTGGCTATAGATATCTTGGCCAGCCCCTGCTCTAGGTCCCTGATGCGCTGTCTCGACAACCAGTGCGGACATGTCGGTCTGTGCCTCCTTTTCTTTCTTAGAGGAGGACGACACTCCGGCGAGGGCTTCTACCCCCTCGCCTCTAGTCTCACAATGTTACATTCAGATTACTGTGGACCCTCTACTTACAGAATTAATCCGTATTGGAACGGTGGCTGCAGGTCAAAAAGTCTGTAGGTCGAGTCTCCATTGACCTACATTGCATTGAAAACCAATTAATCCTGTAACCGTCCGTCTTAGTTCCGTTTTTGTTCCATTTTGTTTTTTTTTCTGGTCTGTAGGTCGATCCTCCAGCTGCAAGTCGAACCTAAATTTTGCAGCCAGAGAAGTTTGTAACTCGAAAAGTCTGTAAGTTGAGGGTCCACTGTACCTGTAGTGAATACTTGAGCATGAAATAGACTTATTTATTTCTGCCAGAATTTGGGCTACCATCACTTCCTCCAAAGACCTTTATATTGGCACAATATGTCATGAAACTAGATCTAGATACAGTGGGCAGGTGACTGCTGCCGCCAGTTCCTCTGATGGCTGTCACACTGGCAATTGATCGTGAAAGGATGGAGGAGCTGTTGGTGGGAATCAATGCAGGAAGGATGGAGGGTGTTTGACCTCCTTATTCTTCCTCTGGCTTCAAAGAAGACTTCCTAATTTAAGGAGGCAAAATATCTGGCCAGGACCACTTTCTAGCTTTGTGAAGTTTCCCTAAGTTGTATTGACCCAATGTAGGTATGAAAATCATTATTTTTTCAGATCTAAGCAAGATGTATATGTTATATTTTGTTGAAAGTTTTTTCTTTATGTAGTATTGTTTTTATACATTTTGCTGTATGTTTCTTGTAAGCCGCCTAGAGTGGTCTTAACCGACTAGATAGGCGGGATATAAATTAAATAAATAAATAAATAAATAAGAACCGCCCACAATAGACCTTTGGTCTAGATGGGCGGGATAGAAATCCAATAAATAAAGTAAATAAATTATATGAAACTGAATGCTAACGCCCACAATTTTGGTCTAGATGGGCGGGATAGAAATCCAATAAATAAAGTAAATAAATTATATGAAACTGAATGCTAAAGTGCACTCAGTGTTAATTGCTATTTACATTATTTATTTATTTATTTATTTATTTATTTATACCCTGCCTATCTAGTAGAAAGACCATTCTAGGCGGTTGAATATCTCTGGAATTTCAAATGCAAATTTGAAAGCAGAAGAATATGTTTTAAAATATGTGGTATAAGAAATGCCAAGGAAGTAAAATAATGCTAGCTGGTTTCACTTGGTTCTTAAGACTTGTACCCCTTTATAAGGTCAATGACTAAATGTCTTAGTTATTTCTTTTTTTATAGAGGCTTCACATTCCGAAAGAAAACCTCTTCTGGTATTTGTGCTCCAGGAGCAAATGATTTTGCCTTAAAGGAAAAAGATGCTAACTCTTCTCTGCAGAAAATAGATGTGTCTTTACCAAACACGAAAGATAAGAACACCAAAATCAGTAGCTTCTTTGAAACAACATGTAAAGGACAGGTAGAAAAACAAAACCAGCCAACTGAGCCATGTTTGAATGTTTTGGATAGTTTCACATCTTCTAGCAAAGACAGTGAATGGAATGCACTGAAAGCTAGCCATAACTGTTTGTCCAGCTCGGTTATTAATCTCACTGATGTCTGGGATGACATAGATGACTTTGAAATAAGAGGGCACCAAAAGACATGTTCCAAGTTGTCAGTTTCATTTTCGGGTGTTCTGTCTCGAAAAGGCACTAAGGTTTCAAAAAACCTTAATCCGTTCACCAATTCATTGCCAAAGCCATCGGCTGCAGGAGGAAGTAAACAGTTGTGCAGTGATCCCTGTATTGATAACAACAACAAAAGACAGATGCCTGATGACAAGAAGCAAAATGCTTCAAGGGATCAGTCTGTCATCTGCCTTGACCCAACACCCAGCCATTGTGAAATCTTTGGCAATGAGGATTTTCAAGAAGAACCTGTAGCAAATTACTCAGGTGGCAAAAAGGAGGAATCTTTGGAAGGTAAATGGCTTCTTTTTTGAACATGTTTCTTAGTGTTTATGTAACAGGAATGAATTCCAGGAGAATACTAGCTGTGTTGTCCTTGCTAGATGAAGTAATCTTCTGCTCCTTAAGGACTAACATATATTCTGTTTTATGTTTCACCAATAAGATATTTCATCAGGTGCATAAAATTCGATAGTGATGATAGTGATGGGAAGATCTGTATTCTGGCATGCACATTGGTCTTTTTAAATTACCTCCTTCCTCTAAGGAATACACCATAGGCAAAAATGTTAACAGATTTAATAACAATTTTCAGATATAGATTAGGCTGATGAAAAGGGACTGATCAAAGGTCAGTAAGCTTTGTGGTTTAGTGAAATTTCAACACAGGGTGTCTGCAGTCCACATCTAACCTTAACTATTGCCGAGGTTTTTTTAAAAAAATGAACAAGGACAGATTCACATTGTGAAATCCGAGATGTTCTGGATATAGTAAGTGAGATTTATTCATAAAGAATACTTAAATCTCTAAATAGGTCCAGGTGCACTCAGTCCTTGTTTGTGCTTAGTTTTTGTAACTGTATGTGAGATGTGACGTAGTTTAGGTTGGTAAATCTGAATCAAAATTATTCCAATTCAATTTACAGAGTCTTATTTATTTGATACAGAGAGGTCAGGTAGGGTGGTAAATAAGAAAAGGTTCTGAAAACTGATTTTTAAAAAAATAAAAATACTTTTAATAAAATGCTTTATTTCTTGTTAAAGCACCAAATGACAGTGGCTTTATGCTAAATGAAAGGGAAGAACCAGATGATGGATGGAGTAGTCCAGTTGTGTGCAGTGAATTTGATGAAGAAGACTACGTAGATGTCATACCACCTTCCCCGGAAGAGATTTCTTCATCTGCATGCTCTTTTAAAAGCATTAGGTATGATAAAGAGTTATCAACCTGTATCCAAAGCGTTCATAAAAATGTTGAACAAAATGTTCAAGACCTGGATCTGTTATAGAAGTAGTTTGATTAAGTTGATGATACATGTATTGAGTTCTTTTTCACCATTAAATGACAAAAATGCAAAGGGGAAAAAGAAGCCTAATAACAAATACAATGTCTAGATGATGTATGGAACTTTGCCATATGTAGTTTGAGACCTTAATGTCTCTTAATCTTAATCTTAGTCATGTTTTAAAAGAATCTGTGGCTGAGGAAATGCCTGAAGTCTTGAAAACCAACCATACAGATTCGGGAGGAGTTACCAATGGAAACAATGAAGTGCATGAAGGTAAAATAACTATAATCCTATAATGCCATTTTAGCTATTTAATTTTGACAAATGGAAAGCCCCATGTGTTTTTCAGATAAAGGCGTATGCATTTTTACAGTTACCTAAATTACAGAACTGGGTAGCAACTTTTCTTAGGTTTAACTTATGTTTTTGCTGGATGCTGATATGACATTTGAGGTAAGAACTCCCTCAAAAACCATGTTTTGGATGCTTTTGTTTATCAAATAGTACTTACCGTATTTTTCGCTCCATAAGACGCACCTTTCCATAAGATGCATCAATCTTTTAGGAGAAGAAAACAGGAAAATATAATCTGTTTTCTTTACTCCATAAGACGCACAGACTTTCTACCCCCCCTGTTTTGTGGGAAAAAAGTGCGTCTTATTGTGCGAAAAATACGGTATCTCTTGTGAACACATTTGAATCCCACTGAAATCTTTATAATCTACTAGCATATGATCATGTTACAGTTTATAGGATCTTACAGTTTCACTGAGCAACAGGCCAACATAAAGTTGCTGGAGTATTATGAGGCAAGTGATATGATTATTGTTCAAGTGATATGATTATTTTTTCAGGCCAATTTTCTCCTCTGGGACAGTCCCTCTATGATGTGATGGAGAGCATTTGTAAACTGGTGGATTCCATACCAGAAAGGGATCTGAAGTCGTTGCCACATGACATGGTGCTAGAGTATTATGAGGCAAGTGATACGATTATTGCTCAATGTTATTTTTTCAGGCCAATTTTCTCCACTGGGACAGTCCCTCTATGATGTGATGGAGAGCATTTGTAAACTGGTGGATTCCATACCAGAAAGGGATCTGAAGTCTTTGCCACATGGGAAGGAACTAATTCAGATTAGAAATTACAGGTCTGTTGTAAGGCTGCATTACTTCAGAATGTACTTTTATGCTCTTTTTCTTGTTTCTCTGAAGTAAATACAGTGGAGATGTTATTAGTTTCTTCAAGATAGTTCATGAGATTAGGATCATCAGTGGCTACTAGCTGAGACAGCCTATCAGGAAGTTGAGTCATGGCAGCTGGACTGCTTAATTATTAGGTTGATACATTTTGCTACTCATCTAAGTAGGTTCTTCAGTTTGAGGAGAGTTGGTAGGAGACCCGTGATATATTCTCCACATTGGTTTAACTTGTCTCTGGTCTGAATCAGCTCGTTAGATGGACAAAGGACATTTAAGGTTCTGTAGCCAACCTGACACTTAATCTATCCAGCCCACACCTAGTTAGCTTGCTGATCAGAATATCATGGGATACGTTGTCAAAGGCTTTGTTAGAGTCAAGATATATTATGTCTACAGCACTCCTACCATCTGCTAGGAAGGTTACCTGATAAAATAAGATAAGATTTATCTGGCAGGATTTGTTCTTGACAAATCCATGTTGGCCTCTTCTATTTCAAAGATTTGGGGAGAGGCCTGTTCGTTCCTATTGCTGTTGTGTGAGAAATTGCATGGTTTGGGAACTTACACAGGAAGTACAGTGGTGCCCCGCATAGCGACCATAATCCGTGCCGAAAAAATCGTCGCTATCCGGATTCGTCGCTATGGGGGGGAAAAAACCCCGTTTAATGCGTTCCTATGGGGAAAAACTTCACTGCTATGCAGAAATCCTCCATCCGGCCGCCATTTTCGCTGCCCGATAAGCGAGGAAAGGGTGCGAAAACACTGTGGGCGGCCATTTTTTCCGGTGGCCATTTTGGAACCACTGATCAGCTGTTTTAAAAACATAATTATGCGATAATCGGTAAGCGAAACACTTACCAATCGTCGCAAACGCTTGTTTTTGCCATATAAAACATCGCAATGCGATCGCTTTTGCGATCACAAAAACATTGCTATGCGGATTCTTTGTTAAACGGGGCGCTCGTTAAGCGAGGCACCACTGTATTACTGAATACATCCCTGCACACATTTGAGAACTGTCCAACCACTTGCCCAAAGGACTGCTATGGAAACAGAAGAAACAAGCAGGATTCTATTGCTAAAATGTAATATATGTAAGCCGAAATGGTTGTTTGAGTCATTTATGCACACGAATAAAGTGTCTAACTGCCAGAGATTAAACACAATATGTTCAAAACACAAGCAGTTTTTTTTGTATCTACACAGAGACAGTTGCAAAAATAAGGAGATTTTTTAAAAGTAGTGCAATTATCAAGTGGGTTGCTCCTACTTTCTCAAGAGGAAGTATCATTCAAAGTCTTGTGTGCTTCCCATTGGCAGCAAATGTGAGCAGATTACTTGTAGAGATTTAAATAAATAAATGAGGTATAGTATATATTGATTGCAGTTTTTGAAAAAGGCAGTTAAGAATGAACTACCTTAATTACATCTATTTACAGCATTTGCTAATTTGTCACTTAGAGAAGTGGTTGCTTCTGTCATTTCTTAAATTAATAGTTGTAGAGTTGTCTTGCAGGCATTATTTTTTTTTCTTTGGCACTGTGGATTGTGCCTGTTGATTTCTGAAACTTCCTTTGGGGGTGATTTCTTAAGCAAGTAGTTTTTCTTCCTTGTGCTAAGGGGTACCCCATCTGGGATGGTTTCACATTTGTTTTACTTTGGGTAAAAAAAAAAACTTAAACACAAGAGAGGAGAAGAACAGTGGAAATATTATGAAAGTTGATGACTTTTAGCGCATGATGGTTATCCAAACCCATCCAAAGCTTTTGCCACAATTAATGTCATGAGGCTTCAGTAATCCTCTTTGTGCTCTCAGTTCCCCAACCCAATCTTTCTATTTTGCTTAGTTCTACTCTCTTTTGTGTAATTCGTGTTCTTTCAGTGATTGCCGAAAGAGTATATCTAAAAAAAGAGGAGAACATGGAAAATCCATGTGGAGTTTTTTGTGTGTGTGTGTGTTTTCCTTTGCTGTTCAACCCTTTGGCAAAGTTCCTGATACATTTTTCATCCAATACAGTGGTGCCTCGCTTAACGATTTTAATTGGTTCCAAAAAAAACATCGCTATGGGAAAACTTTGCTAAGTGAAACACGTTTTCCCATAGAGATGCATTGAAAACCGGATAATCCGTTCCAATAGGAACGGATTGCTGTCCTTAAGCGAAAATCGCCATAGGAAACATCGCTAAGCGATACATTGTTTCCCCCATTGGAATGCATTGAAGCCTATTCAATGCATTTCAATGCTTTTGCGATGTTCGTTTTTGCTATTTTAAAGTGTCTTAAAATGTTCAAAAACTGTTTTAAATGCTTGGAATCGTTAGTGCACCTTCTAAAACGTGTGCAAACTTAATTTGGCTTTGTTCTGACTCTTAGTTAATTTTTGGTGAATTGTTTCCCCCCATTGAAATGCATTGAACCCAAGTTTGACAGCTGTCAAACTTGGGTTCAATGCATTTCAATGGGGGGAAAGCATTGAAGCCTATTCAGTGCATTTCAATGGTTTTGCGATGTCTGTTTTCGCTATTTTAAAGTGTCTTAAAATGTTCAAAAACTGTTTTAAATGCTTGGATTCATTAGAGCACCTTGTAAAACGTGTGCAAACTTAATTTCGCTTTATTCTGAGTCTTCGTTAATTTTTGGTGAATATTTTTCTCCCCCATTGGAATGCATTGAAGTGCCCATTTGACAGCTGTCAAACTCGGGTTCAGTGCATTTAAATGGGGGGAAAATTCACCAAAAATTAACGAAGACTCAGAACAAAGCTAAATTAAGTTTGCACATGTTCTAGAAGGTGCACTAACAATTCCGCACATTTAAAACAGTTTTTGAACATTTTAAGACACTTTTAAAATTGCAAAAACGGACATCATTAAGCGAAACAGGGGACCCAAAATGCATTCGCTATGCCAAGCATGGTCCCGAAATCGCTAAGCGAAAATTGCCCATAGGAAACATAGTTAAACGATGCGGAAAATTCTTTTAAAAAACATCGTTAAGCGAATACATTGTTAAATGAAGCAATCGCTAAGCGAGGCACCACTGTATAGAATTGCAAGGGTAGTCAGCAGAAAGTCTGACAGGGAGCAGGGATTAGAATTTGTAAGTCAGGAATCAAATACTTATTTCTTTCAGTCATTCCTTGTGAGATTACTGTGTGCTGAGTTCCTGGTGCCCTCCATCTTGGATTCTTGCGTGCCTGCTGTATCTCTGTCTTCAATCCTTAATATTTTCCTTTTCCCCCCCAATTTTTCCTCCATTTCTTTGGATTACTTTTGCCTGTCTGGAAGCCTGTCTATGCCAGCCCATGTCCTTAGGATTATTTTTTGGATTCTACCCCCTCCTCCTGATTTCCTTGGCAGTTTTCTCCCTCTTCCTGTTTTGAGTTTTGTTCTTTCTTGGGTTATCTTTGCTACTACCTGAACAGTCGGCTTGCTAGTGCCTCCTGGACTCAAAGAGAAAAGTAGAAGGCATGAAGGGTGGCTGTTGGTTGCTTTGGTGAGTGGATGTCTCTGCCTACCTAGATGCTTCCTTGCCTTTTTGCTACTGTGCCCCGTCTCAAGAGGGTCTCTGTTGTGCTGGATGGATGGCACTGAACTAATTTTCCTTTCCTTTCTGTGTGTGAATAGTAAAGATGTGCCATTGGGATTTTTGTTTGTTTGTTTAAGCATATTCCAGAATTCTCAATTCTGGGTATTCCACCTGCCAAACTCACTCCTAAATTGTGCTAACCTGGAGAAAGGCTGGGCTAGAAGTTTCATGGCCAAAGATAGGCTGAGCTCACGCCTAGCTGCCTCTTGAAAAAGCAAGTTGCTCCAATGCTTTTTTGGGGAGAGAGCCCATCCCCAAAAAACACCCCCAAATGAATGGTATATGCCCATTAATTTCTCATACAAGGAAAATGATGTCCAAAATTTTTCAGCTTGTTCCGTAACTTCTGTCTAGTTAACATTGGCAGAAGAGAAATAGTAAAAATTGCAGCAGCAAATGAAAGAATTTAGGTGTGAGTCTGCCAGGTGGAACTCCCAGAATGGAGAATTACAGGATCTGGAGATTAAAAAAAAAAAAAAAAAGGAAATGCTTAGTCAGTAGTGCTACTCTTTGAAAGTGTATGTCCTTTTTGAATTGTGGACTCTACTGAATGCTCTACCCCACTTTTCATAATGAATGGCCCAAGTGAAATAGTGCAAAAGTGATTGTTTAGAAAACTTAAAAGCAAAAGTAAGTTTGGAATAGAGGAATAGGGGTGTGTGTAAAGCAGTTGCATAGAGGCCAAAGTGAGAGAGTCTAGGCTAATTACACAAAAGCTTAGAACTATTTAAAAGGGTATAATCCTCAGAGGAAGACCCCAATGATGTATTGATAATTCATGTTTTATTTTACTTCCAGAAGAAAGCTATTAAATAATTACAAAAGCAGAAAAGACACTGGAATATCTCTGGATGTAGTCAACAAGCATTGTCCTGGGTCTAAGGGATCTCCAGATAGTGGTGTCTCTTTTCAACTGGAAGAAAAGAATGGCATCAGTACTCGAGAGGAAACTTCTATTTATAGACAGCCTTCCCAGAAACCATCTGCTGTTTTTGAGTACACCCTTCATTCAACTCCTTTGGTTGAACCAAACACTCAGGACTCAAGTAATGATAATCTATTACATTTTTCAGAGAGTTGTGTTCTGCTCAGTGACACTTCCACACCAGAAAATACAGCACTGTCTTTATTCAAGAGAGGTGTCAGTGAAAGAACTTTGTCCAAAAACCCAAAGATAGAAGAGAGACAGAAGGATGACTTGTGTTCAGAAGTTTATTTAAGAACTTTAGGAGGACAAAGCAAACTTTCCGTTCTTCAAAGGAATCTGAGAGATGAAAGTTCCTTGCCAAAAGAAAATGTGGACTTTGATAATGATGATTTTGATATTGATTTCAACGAACTGGACAGTATGCTAAGTATTTCGGAAGCTGAAAGGCCTTATGGCGATCATTACCAGCTTAAGGGTGAAGCAGAGTCTGCCAAATCATTCCTGGAAAAAAGGTCCTTCACAGCCAAGGGAGAAGATTTCCTTCCAACTGCATTTTTGCCAAACATGAAACAACTTGCATCTGCCAAGGCTTCTTTGGGTAAAGTTATGCTTTTTTCAAAAAAAATTATCATATAGATAGTATATATGTTGTGCTAAGAAGCTACTGTGAAAAGTGCAGTTGTCTAATTTGATGTGATTTTGAGTTGCCTTCAGTGGCTTTGGGCATTCCTCCCTGTTCACTCCTCGTGGCTGTATCACAATGGCTTAGATGTGTAGTCTTTATCAGGCCATATTGGCATGAGCCCTGTTCAATTATTATCTCTTATCTCACTATGAATAGAAATAAATGTTGTCCTTTCGTTTGTTATCCTACTGGTGGAGGGCGATGTTATCCTACTGGTGGAGGGCGATCTGAAGAGGGAATACATCTGATGTCCTGTGGTGACTGCCCTACATGAGCTGGGATCCTGGTTTCCCACATTCCTAAATCATGTGGCAAGCTGTCATAGATAGCAGAGCTTGTACATCTTCAGATTCATTGCCCTCCATGTGTACGGAAAGTGATTAAATCATAGGCAGATGGAGTTACTGCTTTCAACTCTGCCCTTGGTAAGTTTACCCTAACGAATAATGCCAGAATAGGGCTTTTGTTGTTGTTGTTTAGTCGTTTCTCTCTGCCCTTGGTAAGTTTAACCTAAAGAATAATGCCTGAATAGGGCTACTGTGCTTGAATTTAAAAAAACATTGGCAAGTAGAGTAGGCCCACTGAATCAGTGGACACTGGCAAATAGAGTAGGCCCAGTGAATCAGTGGGGGTTTGGTCAGTCACCTCCTTTTTAAGTTCCATTGATCCAACTGGTCTTTCAACTTATAGCACTAAGCAACAGGGTTTTAGCAAGTGGACAGAAACTGGCACGCTAATACTCTTCTAACAGGCAGCTGTTGGCTTTACAATATCTTTTCAAATGGTAGCAATTTACCGTAAAATTAATTTAAGTAGTGAAGTCCATTATTATTATTATTTTGGGCAATGGTTATTTTGCTGCCCAGTGGAGTTTGATTAATATGCTCTTCTGAGATGTCCAGCACATCTTTGTATTTGTTTGCTACAGAAAATGTGGAATGATGAGTTGGATTAAGTCCCAATTGAGAGTTAAGCACGTATTGAATTCTGCAGTTGTAAATACTGGGGACTAAAAGTACTTTAATGGATTGACTGTGTCCAATGTATTCCCATCCACGATTTCACTACTTTTCAGATTTTATGAGGCTCTAATTATAGAAATCCAAAATACAGTGGTGCCTCACAAGACGATGTTAATTTGTTCCGTGAAAATCGCTGTTAAGTGAAAACATCATCTTGCGAAACACGTTTTCTCATTGAAATGCATTGAAAACCTGATAATCCGTTCCAATGGGATTATTCCAATGTTAAGCGAAAATTCCCATAGCAAACATCATTAAGCGAAACGTTTCCAAGCGAAGACAGCCATCTAACAAAACAGAGACCATTAAAAGACTCATAAAGTGAAGCAAGACCAAGCTGTCAAAAACATTGTAAAGTGAAAAACAGGGACCTAAAATTTAATCGTCTTGCGAGGCAAGGTCCTTAACATCGTAAAGCGAAAATCGCCCATAGGAAACATCATTAAACGAATCGCAAGATCGCTCCGAAAACTTCATCGTAAAGTGAATTCGTTGTTAAACAAAGCAATCGTCTAGCGAGGCACCACTGTAACTTTCACCTCCTGATTATGCCAGCGCAGATAAACAGTTTAGAATATCATTTATAATATCATTCCCATGAATTGAGGTTATGCTTCTGGGATATAGCATTCCCCACCCTGGCACTTCTTAGTCAGTATTAGAGATGGGGGCTTCACATTCGTATATGAATTTGAAGCCCCACGGCACAGGTGGCCAACATGATTACCTCCCACCCCCATACCTCGCCGGACCACTTACCACATGATACACAACGTGCGGGGCCGACATAATCATCTGTGCTCCAGTTGCAGTAATAGCTCAGCTACCTCAGCCCCGCCTCCCTACTTACCCAGCCACTCTGGCAAGGGGGCAGGAGGATGAGTCTCCCTGTTCAGTCATGGAGCGGCTGAGCAAGCAGGAAGGTAGGACTGCAGCAGCTGATCTAGTACCATGATTGGGGCGCAGAATACGGCATCAGCCACACACACATATCGCGTATTGTGTGATAAGTGATCCTGCAGGGTCTGGGGGTGGGTGGGAGGTAATCAGGCTGGACACTTGTGCCGCAGGGCTTCATATACGAATACAAAGCCCCCAGGTTTAGTCAGTATAGGCAATTGCTGGCTTCAGTTGGTGGAATTGCACATCTGGAGTTATAGGTGTAAATTAGAAATGGGTGTATCCGTATTTGTATACGAATACCCCCATCACTAGTGTAAATCCTTGTGTGTCTGTTTTCATATGTGATGCACATAATTATTCATCTTGCAAGGTATTTTGTGGAGCTTCATGATACAGAAAGAAGTTGGCTGTTGCTTTATTGCATAGCAGTCTAAGGTTCAGAAGCATTGGGGAGGGTGTTTGCCAATCAAGACAGGCCTTCTTGGCTCCTCAAAGGGAAAGGGTATTAGTTTTTCATTATGGCAGTTTGTTCAAATTACAGAGACTTTTAAAAGAAAAAATAGTGCCCAATATCTTGCTCTTGTCTGGAAGCAAGGTGTGCTGAGGGGTTTGAGAAAATTCCTTGTTAAGGTGTCCCAAGGCAAGACTGATTAAATCAATGAAATATGAACAATGTACAGTGGGGTCTTGACTTGAGAACTTAATCCGTATTGGTAGGCGGTTCTCAAGTCAAAAAGTCTGTAAGTGTATTGTAAATTAGGTAGTGGCAGTGAAGACAATCGTTTCTGTATAAACCTCTGATTAGATGTGCTTTTTTCCTAGTCCCACTGGTCAAAAATCCTACTTCAAAAAATTCATCATTGGAACACTTCAGAGGCTTAACATTTCCCCATTCTGGTGAAATGATGAAAATATTTCACAAGAAGTTTGGACTGCATCACTTTCGAACGAATCAACTGGAGGCCATCAATGCTTCTCTGCTGGGAGAAGACTGCTTTATTTTGATGCCTACAGGTATGTGTTGATTAGGATGCCTGCCTGCCTGCCAGGACCGAGTGTGCATGGTGTCATGGATAAGGAACAAAATGATTGATTGATTGATTGATCGATTGATTGTCTGCCTGCCAGCCAGGGCCGAGTGTGCATGGTGTCATGCCTAAGGAACAGATGATGTGCTGTTAATATTTAGTGACAGCTACGTGCCGGATGCTATATACTATAGTCTTCTTAAGTAGGCAGCCAAAACAGTGAGGAGGAGCTAACATTAAGCGCATGAAGAGATGATTGGTAGGAGAGATTTGGTTTAAAGTGAGGTCATAGAACTGTCAAGAGCAAGTCTATTCTAAATAACTGATTTAAAACCAAAGTTTAAATCACCAGGGGAAAAATACCAACTTAAAGAATCAATTAAAATCGAGATGGTTTTACTTTTCTTGAGCAAGCATTCATTCTGTCTACAGTTTCTTAACAAATGCTGATATGCAACAATTCAGAGCCTCTGTAATCGTAAAGGCATAATCAATGGCTATGCCTCTCACATGCCTTCTTTATTGTACAGTAGAGTTATGTCTGCTTACAGATAAAGTGTGTGCACAAGCAAGGAAATGGCACAGTATCACATCTTTGAAAGTTAAATCTGCAGTTCTGTGTCTCCTTAATTGGAAACTAGATCTACTAAACCAAGTAGAATCTAATTCTGAATAAAGAAGATTGGACCATAAGAACATTTATTTGAAGCATTTATCCTTTCTTCATCTGAAAATGCTCCTGTAGCAACTTATGTACAATTAACAGAAAGAAAAATCTGCATGTAGATTTCCTAATTAAAAGATTATTGTACAAAGAAAAAGGAAGGGAGAGAGAAGGGGGGAAGCACATTTGGGTACAAATACTTACATTTAAATAGTAGTTTTTATAAAGGCTATCTGGAAATAGTTCAGATAGGGGAGGAGTCTCATGTTTTCATGTAGCGGAAGAGGACATTCTGAAGAAAGCAAAGCGTGCTGCTTATACAGTACAGTGGTGCCCTGCATAGCGACGATAATCCGTTCCGAAAAAATCATCACTATACGGATTCGTCACTATGCGGAACAAAAAAGCCCATAGGAATGCATTAAAACGTTTAATGTGTTCCTATGGGCAAAAAACTCACCGTTATGCGAAAGTCCTCCATATGGCCACCATTTTCGCTGCCCGGTAAGCGAGGAAAGGGTGCGAAAACACTGATCGTTAAATGAAGCGCTCGTTATGCGGGGCACCAGTGTATATGAAACGATATATAACAGAAACAATTGTCTGTTCTATCCACTTTGACAGGCAGGTATGCAGACCAGTCATATTGGTTCAGAACTCTTTCTGGTGGGAGGCGAAGAACCTGGGTTACCAAGAAGATCATATCTCTGCTTGTCACTTTTTTCCTCCCCTTTCATCCTTAAAAAAAAAACAATAACACAAAATACTTTGTAATCTTTTTGCCTCCTGTCCTTTCAACATTTTCCATTTGGTTCTCCTCCAGCCATTCCCTAAATGTCTCCCACTGGACCCAGACAGTGTCTGAGGCCAGAAGGGAGGAAGGCAGCTCAGGTTCTTGGGATGACTTCCAGTCTTCACAAGAGGAGCTGCCCTCAGCTCTGACTGCCCCAGATAGACTTACAAGTGTGAATGATAAAGACTTTGGCTTTCTCTGCTCCATAGGAGGCAACCACTACACTAGTGGAGAGTTTTTCTTTGCTTTTGTGCACACCCTCAACCACTGGGAGGTGCCAGATGTGCAGCCTTGGCACTGCTGTAGCTGCAATGTCAGAGGTGTGGGTGGGTACAGAGGACCAAACTCCCATCTGTTATTGATGTCAAGGCCCTGCATTCAGAATTCATCTCCTGGATCAGTGGTTCCCAAACATTTTGGACTTGTGGCTCCCTTGATTTACAGACCATTGGCCGTGGCTCCCCTTGCTCGGAGAGGCCATTGGTCTCACTGCCACCAGAGGCAGGATCTTGACACCCCTCCCCAGCCATCCCATCTCCCCCCCCCCAAATATCCCTGAAGGCCCCCCTCCTTCCAGATCCTATCACGCAATGCTCATGAGGTCACCTGGCAAGTGCCAGGGACCATAGAGATGGGGCAAAGAGAGGCAGGCACACAGCCTTCACTTCTGGTTTCTGTTTGACACAGAACTATGAACAGCTCTGCATCCTTCATAGCTCCACGTTCCATCCCTTTTTCCATGGCTTGGATCCTGGACACCCCATGGTGCACAGTTTGGGAACCCCTGTCCTAGATTATAAACCAGGGTTGACCAATGTCACTGGAAGGAGCCGTGAACCAATCTGACTGGTCTGCATTCCTGCCTTGAAGTGCATGGGAATCTTTTCAGTAGGGCATCCATCCATTACCTAAAATGAAAATTTCAAGGGGAGCAGCAACATTGCTGTCTGGTCTCCTGGCTCTGCTTCCCCTCTCCCTCTGCTACAGTTTCTCCGTGAGTGAAAG